GCCTGTGCCCCCCGCAGTGGACGCGTGGAGTCCTAACCACTGGAGTGCCAGGGAAGCCCCAAGGCTGGTTGAAATAGAGCACCAGAGGGGTGCCACAGTCACCTCCCACACCTGGCAGGGAAGCATCTGGAAGCTCTCATTGCTGGTGAATCAGAGAGACGGCCCCTTTACCAAGTGCACATTGAGGGTGCACGTTGAGCTCAGGGGACACCAGCTTTGGAAGCAGGTGACCCCGAGTCCTTCCCCAGCTCCTCTGTTGCTGTGTCCAGCTGTTCCACCTTTGTGGCCAGCTGACGGCTCCATGCTTCTAGTTAGGATCTAAGACAACGTGGAGGGAAACCACTCCGCCGATCAGAGGACTCGCAAATGCTTCCTTATCATAGAGATTTTACATGTTCGCTGCAGATAAACTACAAAAATAAGGAGAACCAAAAAAACACCACGTAAAAGTCACACATAATCTCACACCTAGAGATTAACCATGTAACATGTTTGTGTATACCTGCTAGAATTGTGTGTGTGTGTGAGTGTGTACACTCTGGAATATCACTTTGGCTGGCACTTAAGTAACCCATCAAAAGAACACGAATCCCCTACCATTAGTTCAGTGGGTTACATCCAGTCATTTACTCCAATAGCCAATACTATTAGGGGTGAGCATTCTTGTAAATAAATCTTTGAGCTTATTCTCTTAGAAGTAAAGTTTCTGTGGCAAAATGTCCTTTTATGACTTTAATGTATATTTCCATATTCCTTACTTTGGGTTTTATATGCAAAGCTGTATTTTCTTGTTCCTTTTAATTTGCATTTCTTTTCTCTCTAATGTGGTTGAGGTTTTATTTTGAGTGCTTACGGGGCATTTACATTTCTTACCCTGGACATTCTGTCCATTTTGCTATTAGAATATTTTTCCTGATTTATTTCTTTTTTAAGTGTTCTTTTTTTTTTTTACGGTACGCGGGCCTCTCACTGTTGTGGCCTCTCCCGTTGCAGAGCACAGGCTCTGGACGTGCAGGCTCAGTGACCATGGCTCACAGTCCCAGCCACTCTGTGGCATGGTGGATCTTCCCGGACCGGGGCACGAACCCGTGTCCCCTGCACCGGCAGGCGGACTCTCAACCACTGCGCCACCAGGGAAGCCCCGTTGTTGTTTACTAAAGGCTTCCAGGCAGGAAAGACAGGAGCGGAGCCGTGCATGAGGCAGGTTCAGATGACGCTGTCTGTTCCTGCAGACGCTCCCTACAGGCCTCTGGGAATATCATTAAGCATTTTCAAAAATAAATCCCCCTGCTCTTTCTGAAATGACCAAGATGACTTGCCAAGAAGGGCCCAGGCAGCAAGATGCAGAAAGCAGAACTGGAAATAGCAGGTGCAGAGGCACGTGCTCTGGGCAGCCAGGCTCCTGGCCGTGTCCCCATGTCCCCATGTCCCTGTGGCTCTGTGGTCCTGAGCAGCGTCCTGGCCTCCCCAGTGCCACCTCCCACTTCGGGCTGGGTAGGAGGGTCACGCGTTTCTGGGGGACCAGTTCTCTTTCCAAAACTGCTGACTAATAAGGAGCATTTGAAATAAGAAGGCTGCTTCTTAAAACAAAGCTACAGCTGAATTTATTGAGCCCCTGCACCAGTCCCTGGACATCCCCTGGGGAATCAGAGTGAGCAAACTAGAGCCCCTGCCCTTGAGAGGCCCCCAGGCAAGACGAGAGTCAATAACAAATACCGGACACCGGTGCCTGTGATGGGTCTAAGAGGAAGGGACACGTGGGGAGGAGCATCCGGAGCTGGGCAGTCAGAGGGCTAATAGCAGGCAGTAGACAAAGGGAATAGGAGGCAAGGACGTGGGTGTACCCCAGAGGTGCAGTCCTGCTGGAGGCTGCAGGGCGAGGCGGCAGCAGGGGGCAGGATGTGGGTCTGGCGGGGCCCATGGGACCAGAGGTCCAGGGCCTGAGGTCAGCAAGGACTTAGGCACCATGGAACCACTTGAATGTAAAGCAGGGTCAGATTTGCGTTTCAGGACTATTGTACCAAGGGGCAGCGTGGGCTGGACCCAGGGGGCTGGGCAGGAGATGCTCACTCATCTTGCCCTCTCCCTAGACCTGGAGCCCCCCCAAAGGTAGGACAAGGCCTTTCCTGTTTCCTCGATACCAGGTCATACCCAATCACGGAGCAGGTGATGGATAAATATTTACTGAATAGACACATGAGTGACATGAGTGAATGCATCAAGTACACATCTAGACCGATATTTTCTAAAATAAATTCCCAAACCAGAAGATTAATTGCTCAAGGAGGGACAAACTTGCTAGACATTTACTTACTGCTAGTCTGGGCCAGGTCCTCACATACGGGATCCTGTCCAGTTTCACACAACAGCCCTCCCATCCGCACTTGACAAATGCAAAAACCGAGACTCAGAGAGTTTACTCTTTTGTCAGAGACCTTAGATGTCATGGCGGAGACAAAATTTGAAACCAGGTATTTTTATGTCAGGTCCACTGTTGCATCTCCATTGTGTGGGCGGGATGTGTGTGTTCACCAGCCATCCGTTGAACCGCTGTGTAAAGGGAGGTGGCTCAGCCCTGAGGGATTCATGGGAAGCCCCCGCCTGAGGTGTCATCAGAGATAAAGGCAAACGCACACCCAGAGAACCCGGGCCGGCTTGGTTTGCTAGGAGCAGAGGCTGCCCGGCTGAGGGGAGCACGGATGCGCCAATGGTTGTCTGCAACTGCTCTGCATCTGGAATGTTTTTAAATAGAGTGATTTGCCCTGTAAACATGCGTGCTTCCAGCTAATCTCCTTTCCAAGCAGAACGTGTCGTCACCGGGGGATGCCAAATCCCAGCAAAGTCCAAATGGAAGGGGTCACTCGGGCCCCTCTGGGCCCCTCTGCAGGGCTGTCACGCAGGAAGGTGGAGGCACTGCGGTGACAGGGTGGTGGCCGGAGCGGCCTCTGTGACGGGAACAAGCTTTTGTCTCTAGGGACGCAAAGCTCCTGCGAGCGTGAGGACAGACTTGTAGCCTTGCACGCCATCTGCCCCGGGTTCTCGGAGACTTTCCAGAGAGCACCCTGTGGTGACATTGTCAGGGCCCCAAGTGGGGAGACTGAGGTGAGCTGTCACCCGGCACCTGGCGCAGAGCAGGCTCCGGCTCCTGAGAATCCTCCCCACGGCCCTGAAGTGGCTTTGGCCCCCTCATGCTACACAGGGGAGAGCTGAGACGCAGCAGGACCTGGTCACTCGCCCAAGGTCATGCAAGAAGAAAGTGGCAGTCAGGACTCCAACAGGCTTAGCTGGGTCCCAGGCCCTGGCTTCTGGGAGTCGAGTTAGAGGGCTAGGTCCATGCAATCCTGTGCCGAGTTCACCCGCAATATACTCACACTCCGTGGAGGGCCACAGTCTTTTATCTCTTTTGCTCTCTGCTGTGTCTCAATTTTCTAGAAACATTCCTGGCACATAGTAGGTGCTCAATAAGTATTTATTGAATAAGTAACTGGTGGTTATCATTTTTCTTGTTCTTGTCGTTTGGTGAAGAGTGTGGGAAGAGAGCTGATGAGGAAGGCGCTTGGTCTTTCAGAATTCCCAGAAGCGTGGAAAGAGGTGGACGCTGGGGGAGAAGGGGAGGTGGGGAGCGTGGCCTGGGCTTCCTGTTAGCACATCACCCAAGCTGGAGTCACAGGCAGCAAGTCTGATCATGGTCCTCCTGCCGAAACCCCTTCGATGACTTCCTGTGGGCTCAGTGACGGCCCTTACTTAGCACGACACTCAAGGCCTCTGCAAACTCAGCTTTACTGCCTCTCTTACTCACACGTGAGCGGGAGCCACGTGAGGTTACTCTCGTGTCTTCCAAACACAGTCATGCTTTTCTGGCTTTGCTCACTCTGTTCTCTACTTTGCTTTGCGTCTGTCTGGTGAACTCCTACTCATCACTCAAGGCCCAGCTCAAATGTCCCCTTCTCTGCCACATTTTCTGTCCTATCATCTGTTGGTGCCTCCATGTCCCTCTGTTCCAGCCCCCATCCTACTATGTAGTAGCTATTTGCTTCTTCTGTCTCCCCTTCATAGCCTCATTCATCCTCGTGGTCACAGAGTATGGGTTCAGTGAGCACCTGTTGAATAACTGGGCGAATAATGTCATGATGGGAATGCCTGCATGGCTGGGAGGGGGCGAGAAGGAGAGTAAGAAGGGGCCCCTTCCCGGTGGGAAACGCTATGATACATGTTGCTCAGATATTTGAAAATTTTGTGCACATCCTTTCCACTCCAGCTGCCATCTGCCCAAGCCAGCTCTTCAAGGTTTGAGTAATCGGATGGACCAGGCAAACCCAGGAGCAGAAATAGATGTTAAAGTGATTTACAGGCTGCAGAGACAGAGCCTGGGGGAAAAGTTAAAGGATCCAGGATTCATTAGCCCAGGAAGGGGGAGCAGAGGGGGTTCCTCCTGGAGATAAGGAGCCTCCTTCACAGACAGCTCGGCCCCTGGGGCTGCAGCATGAAGACTCCCCGGCAGACCAGCCCTCTCCCAGGGGCTGTGCTTCCTTCTGCTGTGCATCTTCTCACCCTTCCCTCCTCCACCCTCTGGGCCCTCCTAGCCTCTAAACGGGGCTGTGGAGGAAAGCATGAGGACAAACTTTACATCCTGGCCACCACTTACCAACAGGACAAGCCACTTCACATGCTGGCTCAGACACAGGCTCAGTAACGGCCAGCTTCTCCCCATCTCCTCCCTCCTCACCACTCCACCCCCAGCCCGCCTCTCCCTGCAGCTGAAGAGGAACGAGGGCAGCCTGCCTCCCCGCAGGCCAAGCCCCAGAGGCCATCGTTTCAGAGAAGAGGCAGAGAGGGCCGGGGCAGAGCGCACCGCAACACCCTCCTGGGCCCCCAAGCACCCAACACGTATCCACCTTCTCTCCATGCACACATGTACACGCATGTGCACACGTGTGTGTGTACACACATGCGCACACGTATGCGTGCACGTGTACTCACATGCAGACACGTACGGGCATGTGCACACGTACGCACGCACACAGTACACACATGTGCACACGTACACACGCGTGCCTGCTGCTCCTCAGCTCACCGAGCTCCCCTGTGACTCTCCTGTCTCCCATCTAGACCAGGAGCTCCCTGAGGGTAGGGACCGTATCTCATTTTCTGTTTTCCCCATGCCTGGCATCCGACAGGCACCAGTACATGTTTGGTGAATAAATTAATGAGTGCGAGGGACGAGCATCTTGCTCCGTGGTGGTCGCGGTATTTGATGTGTTCTGTGGGATGAAAGGTACATTAAAAACTTTTAGAAAAGAGCTGGAGAGTGCAGGAGGCAAGTGGAGGTCTCTAAATCCCATGGCCTTACGGGTGGCGTCACGGAAAGGGGCTCTGGGTTTCTGGGGATGGAAATAAGGATTTTTCTCCCTGCATTATCCCTCTCCCCCCTCCCCAGCAGAAGAGCCAGCAGCCTAGGTTCCAAGCTTTGGAGGCCTTCGTTACAGGCCCCAGAGTCCTCTCCTCCCTGTCCTTTGTTTCCTAGTCTGCTGGAGGAGGGTGGAGAAAAGAGGGCCCCAGGGGCCAGGGAGGGGTGGGAGCCAGCGAGGGTCATAGGACTGTAGGGTCCTGAACCTGTTTGAAGACCCTCGCCCTCAGAAGGGGGCACACAGGGAGGCTGGGCTCAGGGCCCAGGACGCCAGGCTGCAGGCTCGGAGGCAGTGGGGCCTCGGGCTGTGCTGTGCAGCTGGGCCAGTGGACATCTCAGCAGGAGCAGTGGGGATTTTGCACATTGCAGGGTCGGGGTGAGGGCCCAGGAGTAACTGACAGCGCATTTCTCCCTGCGTGGCAGGTGGGTTGAATTTGGTTTAGGAATACACACGCTCATAATCAGGCCTCACACAGGTCACCCACGATCGCCTCTGCTGAACAGACGGGGGGCTGGGTGTGGAACAGGACCCTCGCCTGGATGACAGCTAGAGAGAAGCAGGGTTTGTGTTTCTCCTCACTTTGCAGGCACACCCTCCCTGGCAGCAGGGCAGGCCCACATTCCCAACCTGATTCTGTCCAAACTTGAGACTTTCTCCTAGAAATGTCACCAAACTCCCCCTAGAGTCACCCTCCCTGTCCTGCTCCAGGAGCCCAGGGCATCCCTGGAGGAGGTTTCCTGCCCACTCTTCTCCGATCCTTACCTGCTCCTGGAGCCCAGAGGTGGCAGGTGGTGGGTGGCATTCAGAGGAGCCCTTCCACTTGTCCGAGGCCAAGCAGGCTCTCAGCAATGGCCAGGACTCGACCCAGGTCTCCAGACTCCGAGGTCTGGCCCATCCTGCTGCCCTGGCCTCAACTGCTGGGCAGCTCAGGTTGCCCCAAAGAGACCAGTGAGCTGAGACATGGGATGGGGACACTTGGCTTCCCAGCTCTGGGCGTCAACTGCTAGTTACACTTTCCACTGGTCTTACCACTCCGGGCAGGCCGTCTGTGTCTGTGTCCCTGGTAGGAGAGGGTGGCAGTCAAAATGGGACGGTAAGGGGGGCTCAGGGACCCTAACACATGGGTGTTGGCAGTCAACCACCCAAATCCTCTCTGGAGCTAGTTGCTCAGAGCTCAGTGCCAAGAGCCATGGGTGGGTGGCACTCAGGAACCAGAGGTAGTGGCCTCACCCCAGGCAGCTCCCTCACCCCAGTGAGCAAACACAGTATAGGAGCTTGTGTACATGTGACTCTGGCACAAAGAGGCCAACCAAAGCCTCTGAGCTGGGTGTGGTGGGTGTTGGCGGCCCAGTGGTGGTGAGTGGTGGTGACAGGATGCCTCGTTTCCCTGGCAACCTAGTGGAGGCTGTTCCACAAATACCAGCCAGTGGCTGCCGCCGCTGGACGGCTGGGAGCACTGAGATCTGAGATCCGAGTCTGCCCGGCTGCCACCAGGTGCAGGGGGGCCCTGGCCCCCTCCTCAGCGGCCGTCCTCTGTGGTTGGTTCTGCGTGTATTTATTTTGTCATTCAGCAAATCCCTTACATCTCTGCGTACCCATCTGTGCATCTTGGTACAGTCTCTGCCAGGAATGTCCTTTCTCCTTTGACTGGTGAACTCCTCCTCCAACCTCAATGTCCACTTCAAATAGCCCCGCGTATGGTCACATGACCATCCCGAGGTAAGCTCAGGACAGTCAGTGGAAAAGATAAGCTTTATTCAAAAGGCCTCAAGGAAGGTCTAGGCGAGCAGATCAGGACAGAGGGAACAGGTCAGGTCAAGGACAGGACTTCGGGGTGAATAAACCGTTAAGACTCTCCATCAACTGTCTTTAGAGGCATCGCAGAAGGAACACTATCTTGCCCTGACTGGGTGGCCTGGGACAAGCCCCTTTTCCTCTCCAAGCCCCAGAATCCCCTTTCCTAAAATGGGGACATCAGAGAAGGTAATTCTTAAAGGCCCTCCCAGTGCTGACAACTTCATGACTCTGTGATTCTGGGGTGCCCTTTCCTCTCTCTCTGAGGGTTACCTATCTTCCTGGGGAGCTTACATCCTACCTGTCTGTCTCCCAGGCCGGCCTCTGTCCCGCTGGCCTCAGCCTGAGGCAGGGCTGTCTTTACTAGGTTTTCTAGCGTGGGATCCACCGGCCGCTCTCCCCGGAGAGTCCCACATGTCTCCCCAGTCTACCTGGGGTCTCTGCCACTTCCACCCTCACTCTTGCCAGGACTTTCTCAAGGATCTACAACAGCTACTCACTTCCTTTTTTTCTCAGATTCTCTCCAAACTCTTTCCCCGGCCTCAAAAGGATTTTACTCCTTCTGTGGTAGGAAAACCACCGTGTGGTTAATGGCGTGAACTCCACGCTCTGAGGCCTCTGGACTTTGTTCATGTTACTGAAACCAGGCTTCCGGGAAAAGACGGCAGAAAGAACATCTAGTCTTACTCTCTCCCAAAACCTCACGAGGGCTATGGTAAAGAGATCCACATATGCACGCGCACGCACACACACACGCGCACGCGTGCGCACGCCAGGAGAGCAGACCACAGCAAGGTTTGAGAAGCTGGGAAGCAGGTGGAAGAATGGAACTGACTTAGCAGATCCCAGAAAGTGAAATCTCAAACCCACAGGGAAGAAAACTAAGAACTAGAGTTGTGCGTCTCAGAATTCTCAAGGAACTAGAAGTATCAGGAAACTTTAGAAGTCGGAGTAAAGGCGTGGCTGAAATGAGGAGGGTTAATCTAAAGTAGCCAAAGAAGGAGGTGGGTCCTGGGGTCCCCTCCACTCCTCACTAATGGGCAACTGCCCATTCCCACCCCAAGGGAAGACTGGAGATTTACACCCTGGAAAAAGGTAAAAAGTGACCCTTTGGATTGGAGGATATGGGGTCTCACCACAAACGGCGGGATTAAGTTAATGTGGGAACTCTGAATGCTAAGGTCATACCCCCAGGCCCCCTGCCTGAAGCCTGGGGGCTAAGCCTTCACTCTGGGGGTGGAAGGGGGCCGCTGGAAATGTCCTCTCTGGAGAAAGGAGCCCTGGTGAGCGTCTGTTCTCACTCGTGCATTCAGACCACACCACGACCCATCACCATGACATTTCAGATTACTGTGGCCCAAGAGCAGATCCTACCGGCTTCCAGAGAGAGGAAACAAGTCACATTCAAAAGTCGAGGCACGAGTTCGGGTTCTTACAGAGGCCCTGGAAGCTAGAAGACCTTTCAAAATTCAAGGGATAATGATTTACGATCTAGAATCCTATAAACAGTGAAACACTTTGTCAAGTGAGAAGTTAGAATAAGGACGCTTCCAGACACGCAAGAACTCAAAATACTTGCCTTCAATAACTCTCTTCTTGGAAACCTCTAGAGAATGTGGTCCCTCAAAAGGAGTAACCCAAGAAAGAAGAGGCCACCGGACCCAGGAACCAGGTGTTCCGACACAGAAGAGCAGCAGAGGAAGCGCCTCTGCAGAAGCCAAGACAGAGGCCGGGCCACAGCTGAGCTCGGGACACGGGGTGGCAGGTCCTGATCAGGGCGGTGCAGAAGCACTGGAGAGATGGGCTTCTCCAGGAAGATGAAACCGAGAGAGCCCCAGACACAACTGAATGTCTCGGGAAGACCCTTTGACAACTGGCAAAAAGCCTGCAGTGGAATCGGTGATAAATGCACGGAGAATCAGGCTATGAAACAACACGGTGATTAATTTCAGGGATAACAATACTCTGCAGAGAAGGAGAAGGAGTCGTAAGTCATAGTTCACCACACTTTTCAACTATAGAAAGTGTTTCCATGGCTTAATAATATAAAGAGTGGCTGGATCGAAGCAAAATTGCATCACAGTTCAACGGGGACCAAGGGGTATGGGAAGGGTTCACACGTCCCTGAGGAGCAGCGGGTGGAAGTCAGGAGACAGTGTCCACACGGAAAAATTAAACAGTGGGTGTGCACGCGTGTATCTGAGACGCAGAGGCCAGCCCAGATCCTCGGGGAGCAAGTGACTGCTTCGGGGCGGGAAACATGGGCGGAGGGTCCGGGGCTCCTGTTGTGTTTTCACAGCCCACCATCTAGAGCACTCTGCCCCCTTAGTAGATGCAGCGCGTGAAACTGAGAGCACAGGGGAGCGCAGGTGGCTGAGGCTCCTCGCTCGGGTGAGGTGAGCAACGGCCTCGTGGAGAGCCCTGGACAGCACGGAGGGGCACATGCCTGTGGACCGGGATCTACTTCTGGAGCCTGAGTTGCCAAATTACAGGCTTCCTGAGGCAGCCTACAGTGCAGAGGCCCAGAACCAGTGAGAATCCCGAAGCGTCTCAAGTCCCACCCTCCAGGACAATGACGGGAACACAGCAGCAAGCAGTGGCACTTTCCAGCCTGGCCTCACCGTGGACGGCGGTCACCCACACCTGATGCAGCCCCAGGTCCCAACCTGCCCTGGCCTGGCGCCCCTTGGGTGCTCTGAACGTTTGCTTGAATTCATGTCATAGACAAAACGTTGAGCTAAATTTGATCTCAAACCTGGTGTGGCGGGGGGAGGGTAGGGGGGTGGTGTAAGTCTTTTTAAGGCCATCTTCAGGCTGTAAGTAACAAAATTAATACACATGTGTGTTCTGGCCCCGGACTTACCCTTTCTGATCCTCACATCCTCTAAGGATGTTATAAGGGAGGCGTTTTAATTTTTCTCTTTGCGCAGAAGGCAAAACTCAGAGTCTGGGAGGTTAAAGCATGAACCCAAGGCCGCGGGGCTCCTTGTGGAGCCTGAGAAGATATTCTCAAACTCCCCCAGCTGTGCACGGGGCATTTTATTTATTTGTTGCTTTTTATTTCACCTTTAATTTCTGTTTCCATCAGGCCTCCCAGAACCCACAGCAGGGAGGAGGGAGGCTGAGGCGTCCAGGCACTGGAGACGGTGCGTACAGACCCCAGTGGAGTGATCAGCTGGCCTGCCCAGCTGCACCTTCTCTCCTCACACAATTCATCTGAGACAGGCTCAGGAAGCAGCTGAGGGAGGGACTTCCTTTACACAGCCAGGGGGCATCAGATCTGGAGGGAGAGCAAGGGGAACCCATCCTGGGATCTGAACCCTCCAAGAGGGACTGAGCAGAGAGGAGGGTCAGGGGAAGCGGGAGACGACGTGGATCAAGCCCTGGGCCTGGGTTAAGCTCTCCACCCAGGCTCTCATTTAATTGTCACAACAATGTTATACATAGGAAACATTACCCCCACCTTCCAGATGAGGAAACTGAGGCCCAGAGGCTCCCGACAGGCCAGGCTCACCCAGCTGGGAAGTGGGAGGTGGCACAGCAGGGCCCTTCCCACCTGCCCACACGGACAGACCAGAGTGAGGTTGCTGGGAGTCAAAACTGCCACGTGGGACCTGTCCTTGGTGTCGCGAGGCACACCTCAAACTGCAGAGGGATTGACTCAAGAGAGGGCGTTAGCTGGTGGCGGGCCTGTGGGAGCTCGGTATTTTTAGTCATTTTGTCATACAGACCAGGATGGAGAGATGGGAAACCACAGGGGCTGGCACAGGCCTCGGGATGAAATCATGAGCCCAAAATAGGTGGAGCCGCAGCCCTCCGACGCCTGTCGTGGAGCCTCTGCGCTGACAAGCCACAAACACACTGGGTCCTTTTTTTATTTTTGTTTTTGTTTTTTGTGGAGGGCCCCAGACCTCTTTTAGAAGGTATTAAATCAAAGGATGTTGGAGCTGGCAGGAACCTTAGAGATTGCAGAGTCTGATCCCTCTCTGCGTGATTGGGGTCACTGAGGCTGGAGAGCAGGGAAGTTTCATCTAAGTGAGCGGCAGAGTGGGGACCCATCCAGGCCCCTGGGCTGCATCCTCTCCCCCGTGCCCTACTGCCTCTGCACCAGCCTCCTGCCCTGGCTGCCACCCCATCTCAGGGGCGGGATGAGGCAGCATGTGGAGCCTACAGCTGCCACACAGGGAGTTAGAAGGCCCTGGGCTTGGGGACTGTGGACCCACCGCTTTCCTTTTTTTGTGATGCCCATTTCTCAGATCAGAATGTTGTGGTTTTTCATGAGATTCCAAGGATACAGCATGTAAACACGACTTCCTGCTCCACCGACCTGGGGGTGTTTCTGGAAGCAAGGTGGTGTACAAGGTGGCATAGGCATCCCTGCTGGAAGCCCCCAGTCCCTCCTTCCTCCATCCTAGCAGAACCAGATGGTGTCAGGTACCCGCTCTCACGAGTTGTCAGCCCCCAGCACCAGAGCCTCAGGACCATGGTAGTGACCTCATTCTCCTGGCTGGTCACTGTTCAGCGTGGGCTTGTGACACAGTTCTGGCCAATAAAAGATGAAAGGAAGTCTGCAGGGGGCTTCCAGGGAAGGCTCCTTCATGATTAAAAGGGATAAAAAAGCACATGGGAAGAAAGAGTCCCTGGACACTGTCATGAAAACGTGACAACTGGGTCCATTATAGCTTTACCACGAGGGGCTCAACTTGAGGGCAAAAGACAGCAGAGCAGAGAGAGGAAATGAACTTGGGTCCTTGTGGCAGATCTTGCCTCTGACTGCTTGCCATGTGAGCTCACAGGTGCGTTTACCTTGGGGGCTTTTAACATTTGAAGCCCAGATCATACCAGATGCTACCGATGAGTCTGAATGGAAGTACACAGTAATTTTATTTTTAATGCCAAGGCTGACTCAGGACTTGGATCTCCTTGTGACCCTTTCAAATGATGGTGCAACCTCATTTATCCAGCAGCTTCCCTCTTTTATTTGAACTTCCTGATGCAGACTTTTAGCCTCTCACCTGCTCCCAGGGCCTACGTGTCTTGTTCAAGGTGTGTCACTCTTAGACCATGAGGTCAGGCGTCATGGCGATGCCAGCAGACATGGTGAGTGCGTTCTGCATGACCCAGCATTGCTGCTAGTCCTTGGCAGTGCTGGGCACCAGACTGGGGAAATCTGTCTTCTGGTCCATGCTGTGTGATCTCCTCTCCCCACCTCATGGTTCCAGCATCTTACTCGTGTTCTCTCGCCATTCCTCACCTGGTACCTGCCCTCAGATGGTGGGCGGGATCGAATTCCATGCAGGGGCTCAGAAGGCTCAATTCTGACTCTGCCACAGATTCTCTGGGGAGGAGCCATGTCTCCAGTCCGAGCCTCAGTTTCCTCACCTAAACCATGACGGGGTTGGGTTATAGCAAGTCCTGCTTCAACCAGGACAGCTCTGTTTATGCCTCTGGGTTTGATCTTATATCTGCCCCCAAAGATTTAAATTCACTGGATGAGATTACCTTTAAGGGTCCTTCCAGATCTGATGTCATTTTCTACCCCACGTGGGAACAATCTAATGCAAAGCGTGCACCACAAGTATCCACAGGGCAGGGCAGGGGATGTGAACAAGTGAAGAGGGCCCAGTGCGGGCAATAGGGAACGGTGAGGACTGAGGTAAACGTAGGAGCATGGACAGCTAAACGGACCGGCTGTATTTTAGTTGTTGCCTTGAGGAGTTCATAATCAGGGCTCCCAGAGTTTCTGATTTTTTGAGAGAAACCAGAAATCTGACCTTCTATGGGAAATATTTGGGCTCAAGCCAAATGAAGGAAATCCAGCGTGTGGGCTACCAATTAGCAATCCTTGTGTGCGGAGCAACTCCCGTGCAGAAGAACTGTTGAGTCGAGGGATGAATCGAAGTGTAATTGGAGTGACTGTTTACTCAGTGTCCCTTGAGTGCAAAGCCCTGGGCTCCGAGCTTCACGGGCAGCATCTCATTCCCTCCCGCCACGACCTGCGACCTCTGGGGACCTTGCCAGAGTCTGCCTTCCACCCCGCCCCCTCCCTCGTGAGTCAGTTTTAGCCCCTGTGAAGCCCTGCAGTTTGTCCCTCCCAAAGGCAGCCAGTCCTGAGCTGAACCACAGAGTTTAATCTGGGAGAGGGCTGGAGTGGGGGCCTGTGAACACGGGGTGGAGGTGGTGCAGCAGTGGTAGGAGGGAAAGAGCGGTGACAACGCTGTCAGCGCCTGTGTCGTCAAAGCAGGGGCCCACCTGTCAATGGCCTTGACTGCACTCTTTGCCCTAAAGGCCCAGGTGAGTAGGTGTAGTTTGAAGGCAAGAAACTGGGAAGGGAAAAAAAATCAACAGTTACTGAACACCTCCTGTGTCCCAGGCCCTGTCCTTTATGTATGTTACTTCATTTAATCCTCACAACGACTGATGAGGGTGATATCCCCATTTTACAGATGAGGAGACCGGGGCTCAGCAGGTGAAAAACATCAAATCCAGGCCAGAGGTCTGGTCCATTTAGCTCCAAAGCCTGTGCTTTCCACAGTACGAGCTGCCCTTCCACATCCTATCGCAGACAGGTGGTACGGTTAACTGGACTAACTACAGCTCCTGTGAAGACAGATCTTACTGCACTTGGCTCTTCAGGGGGGCAAAACAGCGTGGCCTGTTCCATATGTCTGCCCACCAGGAACAGCGAGGCCACAGCTTACAGCCTCCTGCTTTCCCGGACAGTGTGTTTCTTCCCACTGTTCTCGGCGAGGAGTGGCCCCAGCCCTGTTGGCTCCTGTCATTCCTGGCTGGTCCCCCGTGATCAAGCCGGGAAGGGCAGGTGGTCGGAACAGCAGCGTGTGTGTGTTGAGCTTGTGACTGTAACTCTGGGTGCGTGTGTCTGTCTGTCTGTCTGTGTGTAGTTAAACCTGATGGGGAGGGGGTGAAATTAAAATGTGTATGTGTATTTATGTGGCTAAGTACCAGCTTGTCTGTGTGTGTGTGTGTGAGAGAGAGAGAGAGAGAGAGAGAGAGCGAGAGAGAGAGAAACCTAAATTTGTGTGCATGTCTCTGTCCTTCTGTCCTTCTGTGTGGCTGAATTTCAGCTCAGACCCCTGTCGCCGGAGCAGCAGCTCCTTCGAGCCAGCGTGAGAAGGTTGGCAGCCCTACCAGGCTCCTCATAGGAATCCTCCAGGATTAGCTGTCAATCTCCACTGCTCTCCTCTCAGATGGGTCCGGACAGGTCTGGATGAACATAAATTCTGAATCTCCTGTGGGCCACGTTTCTTCCATAAGATTCCCCTCTGTCTGCTGGAATGAGCAGAGTGAGATCAGACTGAGGCCTCATTCTGGGGGCTCCCCTCTAAATCACAGTGCCCCGAGGCCGCCTTAGAGCCCCGTGCTCCTGGGACATCAGGGTCTTGGGAAGGCAACAACACTCTTCCTGGCAGGGATGGAGGTCCTCCTTAGCCCCTCCCCACTGTGGCCCCAGCCTGGAAAGACCCCAGTGCTCAAAGGACACGGATCCCAAGGGGCAGACATGACATCCGCCTCTGTCTCTCTCCCAGGTGTCACTAACTAAGGGACCCTGGAGCCAGTGCCTTTCCTGCTCTTGCCCTCATTTCTAACGACCCTGAAGTTGTACCTGTGACAGGGGCCCAGAGACCCACCTTCTCTGTAGATTTCAAGCCCATTCCTTCCCAGGAAGCCCCTCAGGCCTGGGGAAGCATCTGGGGTGTGGAAGGAGTACTTGCCTTCACCTCCAGACCTGCCTCCGCACTCACTGGCTGGGGGGTCTGTGGCCAGTGGGCTCCCCAAGCCCCTCTCCTCCCCTGAAGCAGAGGTTAGATTCACGTCCACCTCAGCTGAGACAAACAACTGAGTTCTGTGCAGTGTAAACTCTTGGTGAAAGAACTTTGCCCAACTTTTTCTCTATCGTGTATGTAAAATACCTTTTGCTCTTTGTTATCTGTACAAGTTTCTTCTGGTTAAAGATAATACATCCTTTTTCAGTGTTTACTTTCAACATCTCTGAACTCTTATGTTGTAGATGTAAATGGGATAGAGTGGAATTTTGTCTTTTATCCAGTCTCACAATCTTTAACAAGATTATTCAATCCCCTTTAACAGTTTCTGATTTATTTCTTGTTAAATGTAACATTTTTTCATAATGGTATTGTAGTGCTATATTTTTAAGTCCTTATCTGGTAAAGATACATCCTAAAATATTTATGAATAAAATGATGTGATGTCTGGGATCTGTTTTAAAATACTCTAAGAAGAAAAATGAGGGAGAGAATTGAAACTCGATTATTAAGTGTCTAGGATGATGGGTACATGAGGTCCATTACACTGTTATGTCTATTTTTGTACATTATTTAAATTTTTTATAATAAAATATTTTATTTAATCTGCCATCTTATTTTATAGTTTCTAATTGTCCTGCCTATTCTGTTTCCTTTTCTCTCATATCATGCCTTCCTTTAGATAGATTATTTTTTAGCATTCTACTTGTTTCCCCTTACTCATTGGGAAATTACATATTCTGTTTGAATGCATTTAGCGTTTACCTTTAAAATTACAACCTGCAATCCTAGCTTAGCCGTCTTTTTACTCTGCTCCCTCCTTTTAACTCCATTTACTTCTCCGTCAATTTACAGGCAATTGTTGTCATGTATTTAAAACCCTACAGGACATTGTTTTCATTGCCAGATACAGTCCGTGTTCATTTAAATTTATCCACATATTCCCTAGTTTCTTTGTTCCTAGTATCTTCTTGCACTTCAGTCTTTCCAACTGGAGTTATCTTTCTTCTACCTGAAGTAGATTCTTTGGAATTTCCTATAGTGTAGGGCTTTGTGTGAGACTCTCTTAACTGTCCTTGCATGAAAACACCTTAGTCTTTATTCTTGGAAGATATTTTGTTGAGTGTACGATTTGAAGTTGGCAGTTATGTCAGCAGATCGAATTCTGTTGTCTTCTGGCTTCTGTCGCTGCTTTGAGAAGTCAGCCCTCAGTCCTGGTGTCGCTCATGTGAGGTTTCCCTCCAGCTGCTTTTCAGATGATCGCTCTTGGTGGTTTTTCTGAAGTTTCACAACGATATAGCTAAGTGTAGATTTCATTTTATTTTTCCAACATGAGATTCATTGTGATTCTAAAGTTTGTGGATTAATGTCTTTCTTTTATTAGTCGTGGAAAATTCTCAACCATTAGGTCTTCAAATATCACCTCTGCCACATTCTTTTTCTAGGATTCCAATTTTATATGTATTAGACTTTTCCACTCTTTCTCTTGCCTTTTCACCCTGAATTTTCCATCTTTCTGCTCTTTCATGTTGCTCTCTGGAAAGCTTCTTCTAGCCTATCTTACAGTTCATGAATATTCTCTTCAGCCATGTACATTCTGCTATGGAACCCATTCTTATAATTTTGTGTGTTTTTTTAAACCTGCATTGGGTCTTTGTTGCTGTGCGCGGGCTTTCTCTAGTTGCGGCGAGCAGGGGCTGCTCTTCGTTGTGGTGCGCAGGCTTCTCATTGCGGTGGCTTTTGCACGGGCTCTAGGCACGCGGGCTTCAGTAGTTGTGGCACGCGGGCTCAGTAGCTGTGGCTCCCGGGCTGTAGAGCGCAGGCTCAGTAGTTGTGGTCCACGGGCTTAGTGGCTCCGCGGCATGTGGGATCTTCCCGGACCAGGGCTCGAACCGTGTCCCCTGCATTGGCAGGCAGATTCTTAAGCACTGCGCCACCAGGGAAGTCCCCATTCTTATAGTTTTTATTTCAGTTATTGAATATATTTATTTCTATTTGGTTCTTTATCAAATTGGCTCCATGACTTTTGATAGTTTCCTATTCCCTGAAGGTATTTTCAGGCCTGCCTTTATTTTGTTAAACACAGTCAGCATAGTTGCCTTGTAGTCTGGTTCTTGCACGTGGGGCCTAGTTTCCTTGAAAGCCTCGTTCTCTAGGATTCTTCTAGTCATCGTATTTTAAAAATTACCTGTGGGAATAATTTGCCAACCATGATAAAGATACCTTCCCCCAGAGAGGATTTCCATTTGCTTTTCCCACACCTGGAAACATTACCAAGTTCAAGGCTTGAGAGTTTATGACCCAGGGGCTTTTCCACTTCCAGATTTTAATTCTGTGTCTCTCACCTCAAGAATCTGTCAAACTTGGGTTTTAAACTTCCGGGTTTAGCAAATGACCTTGGTGCAAAAACATCTTCAATTGAGGCTTAGCTCTCCGAATGCATGTTCCTTTCATTTTGGATATGGTTGTTCCTAGCTGTCTTGAAATCTCTTTAATGCTGTGATGAAGATGCATCTTAATCATATGTTTTTGGTTCCTTTCAGTAGCAGAATTAACCCAGATAAGCTGCCAACCGTTCTGGAAATGAGAAGTCCTTTTGAATTTTAGACTCTAGATTCTAAATGTTTATCCTAGAGCAGTGCTTCACAAGCATTAATGTGCGTACAAATTACCTGGAGATCTTCTTAAAATGTATACTTTGACCTAGTAGTCCGGGGTAGGGGTCTTGGACTGGCATTTTTAACAAGCTACAGAAAATGCTGATGCTGCTGTGGTCCATGGACCGCTACTCTGAGTAGCAAGGCTATAGAAAACGCTTTCCCAGAAAACACTGGGAACCTGTAAGTTCCTAAAACAGGGCTCCTGAGTTTCCTAAATGGGTGTTATAAAATCAAGTGTCTCTACTCTCCTTCCTCCTTATTTGGAACCTATGGACTTAAATTTATACTTAATTTTAACAAACCTTTATCCGGTTTCTCAGGAGAGAGAAAATCAGGAGTATGTGTGTGTGTTGGACATTGAGGAGGGTCTGTGAGACTTGGAGATAATTTAGATCTTTGGTCCTTGAATGACCTTGAGCTGCCTCTTCTGGCCAAAGCAGGGTCAAGTATAACAAGTAGCCTCCAGGTTTAAAAGCTCATTATCTACAGCAACAGTCTTCAAATTTTTTGGTCTCAAGACATCTTACTCTCTTAAAAATCATCAAAGAACCCATAGAGCTTTAAATTATGGAGGTTGTATTTATCAATATTAATTCAATTGGAAATTAAAACTGATAAAGTTTTAAAATATCTCTTAATGAATTTTAAGTAATAGTTACCCATTACTGTGAAGGTAAATATGTTTTTAATGAAAAATAATTGTGTATTTCAAACAAAAAAAATTTACTGAGAAGAGTGACACTGTTTTATATTTATAGCTGGAGTTTTACACCATTTTGCGTTCAGTCAATTGTGATATATTGTTTGGTTGAAGTATTTAAAGAATAGCTGGCCTCACAGATACGTAGGTTGAAAAGAGGAAGATTTTAATGGTCTTTTCCAGGTAACTGTGGACATTCTTCTTCAACATTACGTCAATTCTCAACAAGCGGTAGTTTCTTAAAGATAGTTGCAACGTGGAATCTGAATCCATATGGATACACTTTTTCTACTCTGTTACATCAAAATCCATTATTCTGTCTTGTACTTTGAATGGATCTTTTATCTATGCGTGATTCTGTAACAATGCCTTTGTTGTTTGGAAGATATTGGTTCGTTGAGTTATACAGAGCTTCCAAATGTTGACACATTTCATCATATAATATTAAAAAAAAAACCCACGTTAATCTTTAACCACATCTCGTCAGTCTTTAAGTGCTGGGAGGCGATCAGCTTAAGGTGGCAGATACAAATTTTCCAAATTCTAATTTCACTGGAAAACTTGAATCTTCTCATCGGCAACAAATACTGTCAGCTGCTTTCCTTGAAGTGACAGGCCACTTGTTCATTTTTGTGGAAATGTTTGCCAAACCTCCAAGTCAGAATAATCGATCATCCCTTGCCTATCAGTTGTTCTTTTCAAGTAAAAATGATGTTCCATGGAAAAGGCAGCCCATTCAGCTCGCAGCTCCATCACACAAGTGCCTTTCTCCGGACAACCACCGCGTTTCAGTATGCGTAAAAGTACCTTACGATTATTTCCCAGTTCTTCCCACAGAATGCTGAAGGCCGTGTCTTTAAAGGTTGAGATTTAAAAAAATGAATAATTTCTACCGCCCCTTCAGGGACATTCTTAAGTGCAACTGGTTTCTCTTTTCCACTGTGAGTGCAAGGTGGTGAACAATGGCCACTAGAAGAGTTCGGGGTCTCTGTCTGCTTTGATCTGTGCTAAGGCACCCGCAGATCACTCAGCACTGCTTTTGCATCCTCAGGGCAACTGTCAGCACAGAGAAAAAGGCAGAACATCTTAGTATTTGTATGACAAGACTTTTGATTTCAAGGACTCCCTGAAGGGTTTCAGATTTCCCTAGAGATTCAAGGACCACAATTTGAGAACCACTGATCTGAGATTTTTTAAAATGATGGTTAATCCTACTGTAAAATATGCCATTAACAACATAGAAACAATGAAGTAGAACTGTATATTCTCACATGGAATTTTTTCCAAGTCAAATTTAATATGTTAAAATTTAAAAAGTCATGGGATAATAGTATTTTATATACTACAGCATTATCGCATTATGTTAAAAAATATATACGTGGTCTATATGACACATATACCATACTGTTTGTAATTATAATTTGAAATTAGTAAATGATAAATAGTAATTAGTTATAGATGTATGACACATACCATACTGTTAGTCATATCTTCTGGGAAGCTTCAAGCTTTCATTGATATGCCTGTATTTGAATCTATTATAGTAACGTATTCACATGTTGCTTCTTTCCATGACTAAACAATTTTTTAAGATGAAAGGGGGGGAAGAGCTCATTATCTCAGCTTAACACCTCCTCCCTTCAAGCCTTGAGTCTGGCAGGCCTCAAGAGGCAAACCAGCCCGATTCTCTGCTACAGCAGCTCTTTCCCAGGAAATCTCCCCACATTTGTTCCTTCAGGAGGATGAGGTGGCCCGGGGGTTGGGTGGCAGATGCAGAGCTGGTCCCCCGGTTGTGTGATCCTGCCTGGAGGGCCTCTAAGAGGCCAGAGGGATGCAGCACTTTCTCTTTCAAGGTTTACAAACAGCCTGGCTTTTCTCACTTTGGAGAGGAAGGGAGCCATAGGGAGAGAACTGGATGCTTTTTCCCTCTTGTTGTTTAAAACATTTGCAGAATCTGTAGGGACAGAGGCAAAGTGACTCTCCCACCTCGACCTCTGACCTCCGGATGGCAGCAGGTGGCTCAGGGGTTGGTGGGGAAAGGCTGGACTGAACTACCTCCCTGGGGGTGGAGCCATGGGAGGCCCTGGGAGG